TGGCATTCACAATGTTAAGGTAAGTGTAAAACTTCCAGTTAGTAAAAGCATTCTTTGTATTTCATAATCCTTTGTATTTGTCTGGCATAACCACCGATTCATTCATAACTTGCGTCGCAGCCATTTCATCGACAACTCAGCACATGCGACATAATCAATGGCCAGACATGAAAATCAGGATGCAGTTGTATACTCTCATTTTCAGATCTCAATGTTTGCACAATATCTAGAATATGGTGATGTCAGCAGTGGTGTGGACCCAGCGATAAAAGCTGTAACTCTCATAGATGTTCTGACTACACTTAATGATAGTCTTTGCATGGTAGCTGAATTACTCCGAAAAAAGAAAGCAAAAATTAAGCATTGCCTTATTCGAGTTAGATATTATAAACATATCTTTCATGATTACTTTTTGTGTCCTTCCTCATTACCAGGGCATAATCATTTTTCTCTTAAAAACAACAACAAAAAGTATTAAATAAACCATCCATTTCAGTGGTCAAGGTCATATAAAAAAACACACACAAGTTGATTCTTAAGCAATCTCCGCGCATTTTATATGGAGGTTTTGCACCACAACCATGGTGTCCAGTTACATTCTTAATTAATGATTTACTTTTGGTGGAGGAAACTGCTAACACATTGTATCACATTCAAGTGGATTTCCGCTGAATATCTTCTGGTAACCACTTTCCTGTAGAGTCAAAATACCAATCAACCTAACAGAAACCAACACGCTCCTTTTACATATTATGTAGATTCTTAACTGGTTAAAATAACACAATTCGTAACAGGAATAATTTTTACTGATGATCACCAATGTAGTTCAGCACAATTGACCACCAACCATATATAGACAAAAACTAGAATGCACACTGGCCAAAACTTACACATACGACGCCACATGACATTTACGTTAAATCATAGACGATATTGTGATCCAGGATCGCGAGAGAACATGTTTAATTACTGCTAGTTTTGTAATACTGGGCAGTTCTGTGAAATGAGTCATCATTCTCCTATGCTTGCCAAGATACGTGAGTTTAATAAAGTTCGTGTTGAACCTTTATTTCTATTAACTAATTTACTGTTGACAATTGTGTTTTGGACCAGCGCTGTCTGCAACCCGTGCTTAGTGAATGTAACTCAATGAAATAATTACTAAAATATAGTGGTATTGACTGTAAGTATAAAATACGGGGCCACAGCTTTGAGTCACTTCCACTGACTTCTGTACTTCCTCCAGGCAGGGGCATCCCCACTGATTGCCTTGTTTGCTCGCTGGCAACCAATACATTGTACATTGTATTGGTTGTATGAGGTTTGTTCGAGACCCTTGAGCGAAACATTTTATTTTTGAGAAGTTCAAATTGGGTACCCCAGGTCAAAGGTTAGAATGGATTATATATAACTGCAATAAATATTAGTCAATAAATTAATTACTAAAACCTAGTGTAACCGAATGGAAGTCACTAATAATCTAGAGGCTATCGGCCAGAAAACCACTCGTAACGTCGTCTTATTGAGTGGTTACCCATTTTTTGTGACGCTGAGATTGTAAACAGAGGACACATGTAAATATTGCAACTCTATGAGGCTGCAATGAACTCAGATTTTTTTTCTGTGTTGATAAATATTTTGTATGTACTATATATCCTTATATAATTTTTTAATTCCCAGTAAGTTTACATTTCGGTTCACATACAATTTGGGTAATGTGTGACGACTGCGTACATATCTGTGAGACGGAAGATCATCAATGAACCCGAGCAGGGTATAAGTTTGTTATCACTGTGGTCTACAAGCACAAAATTCTCCCTGCAAGTTTAATGTCTGGGTTGAATTTGAAAAGGTAATTTTCTGCTATGTCTTCAGTGTGTCTAAATACTCAACAAGTAGAGGGCGCTAATGAAGCACACACCAAACGATCTGGGCTCCAGCAAAATACGAATTTATCCTATAATAGAAACGGTTGATGGACATTATACAACTAATACATCAACTATTAAGTAGAACTCATAACGCGTATATTTCCATGATGGCAGTCTCTTTAGAGGCCTACAGAGCAAAAATTGTTTGCTTCGTGTAGCCATGGTGTTGTCACGGTTGGCAATAACAGGTGTGCCAGATACCATTGAAAGTGACCTGTTTGTAATCCACTTGTTGATGCTGTCCTTGTTATGTTCTGGCGATGTCCAGAGATATCCTGGACCCCAAAGAATAGACAAAGGCAAGTGAAACAATCTAAATTAACGGAGGACTTTACTCAAAGGTTATCATCAGAAAAGAGAAAGCTTCGCCAGTGAATTCTCCTAGCTCATATGACAACAGAACAGATAGTGATGAGGATGAGAGAATTGAAGAATACAAATAAATTAGACCTGAGTAAACAAATAAATAAGCTATCGAAAGACCTTAATAGAACATAAATTAACCGAGAATGTAACCGATTTGAAACAGGAATTGAAAATTGCCAAGGAAACGATTGTAACAATAGATAATTAAAATAACATATTACAGGAAAATATGGAGGAAATGATCGATAAACAGGATGGACAGATGAAAAGCGATAACTTATTTTTTAAAGGAATTTTCGAAGAAGGCAATGAAACGTGGGTCCACACGGAAACTAAGGAAAAGGAATTTGTTACAACCAACGTGGACATAGATGGTGATCTAATTGAATTTGAAAGGGTACACAGACTTTATAACTCTAAACTCTAAACCTGTCATTGCTAAATTCTCAAAATATAAACAACGGGAACAAGTTTTGATATAGATTAAAGGATACTAACTATGGAATCACTAAAGACTTCTCCACGAAAGCGAGAGAGAAAAGAAGAAAACTCTGCACTTTTTTAATGAAAGTAAGATCGGAAAGGAAGACCACACATCTCAAGTTAAAAATTGAAAACGGGTTATATGTGTTTGATTAGGCAAGTAAAGACATCAAACCTATAAGGAATGGGCGACCATAGGATGATGGCCAAGGCCATAGAAGGACTAATACTAATAATATCCATTTCAATAATAATACAAATCTTAAATTCTCGTATTGGAATATTAATGGATTGTTTTCAAAGCTCGGTGACAATAATTTGATCAATTATGTAGATCAGTTTGATTTTGTTTGTTTTGTAGAGAGATGGTTGTCACGTGACAATGATATATCGAGTTTTGAAGCATTGCATGTAACAAGGACAAAACTTTCACAATTGGGTAGACAATCACATGGTATCTCGTTCTTTTAAAAAATTCAACTAATTTACACATCAAAAAACCTACAAGTATATCAGATAACATTATTTGGGTGTTAATTGCACCAAGCTGTTATAGTAATTGTCCTAAAATGTTATTTGCAGTTGTCTACAGCTCACCTATTGTGTCATCTGTTTATGCAAATGAATGTGTTTTAGATATTTTAGAAGATGAGGTCGCAATGCATACTGACACGTACATACCCACATCCTAATGATAGCCGGTGATTTTAATGGAAAAACGGGTGACTAATTAGATTACACTATGAATTATGACGTAAGGTACTTGTTTCGGATGAGTATGTGGCAGATTCCGCATTCCCCAAAACGACGCTCGTTTGACACTGAGGTTAGTACGCTTGGAATTTTGTAAAAGTACTGGTGTTAGGATTATTAATGGGAGATTATTTAATGATAATGATAGCTGATTTTATACATGTATAACACATAACGGTGCAAGTGTCGTTGATTATGTCATGGTAAAGGAAGACGACTTCAATTGAATATTTCAGTGTGGATAAACGCTCAGAATCGTTCTGGCCCGAGCACATACATAACTGTATGCA